CCCCAAAACCCCAAAACCCCAAAACCCCTCTATCACCCCTCCAAATTTATAAATTTTACCTTCTACTATAAACCCTATGTCCACACATGAAAACCAGAGTAGGAAGGAAAGACACAAGGCTTCGGTCTTGATCACCAGTGACCAGGAGTTTGCCATAGGGAAGTGGCAAGGGTAAGGGGTAGATGGGGTTAAGGGAGGGGTGTTGGGATAGGAAGGGGGTGGAGGGATAGAGGGGTGGAGGGATGGAGGGGTGGAGATTGAAGGAGTGGGGAAGGTGAGATGATGGAGGTTTGGAGATTTTGGGACTAGGGGATTAGTTAAGTTTATGCTGGGGGTTTTAGTGGTGATGTCATGTTTGTAGGCTTATATTTGATTCCTCTTGTTATTGTTTTTGATGTTTTAGGTGTACATCTTCTATTGAGACGGTAGGGGGTTATCTTGTTGAAAAATGGGGTGAAGCTCAAGATGAGTTAAAAGAGCAATCATTAAAAGAAGCCATTGAAATTGGAGCAGAAGAGTACAGATATCCAATTCTGTTTGATAAGGTTGTCAAAGATAGAAATATTGGCATTAAAGGAGTTGCAAATATCAAATTATCAAATACTGATTGCACCTTGATACCCTCACATTTCAGCGAGATCAAAGAAGATGATTTTATCAGCAAAATATGTCTCATTAATCTTGCCATTGTAATTATTTCAGCCAGGAACCAAGAATTTAGCAAAATTAGACCAAATTTGGATCACTATAAGACGATCTTCAACTATCTGATAAGCTTTAGAGTGCCCAGAGTCATTATTGTCATTGGCAACATTAATGAAGAGGAGCTTGACTCAGAAAAGACAACATGTAAGTTCATAAAATATCCAAAGAATTTTGAGATAGCCTAAAAAGAACTTCAGAGTTTTTTGATTACTGTAAAATTGCTAAAGCATCTAATTCTGATGAGTGAATCTCTTCAGGCTATATTTTAAGAATTGAGGATTTCGCTATATGAGAAATATATTAAAATTGAGGATTTTTGACATTAACTAAATTATAGGAACGAGCAATGAAAAATATCAAAATGTCAAGCAACTGATCGGAAAATTAGCGAAGGAAAGAGGATTACTTGAGATAAATACATGCTTCATTCCGATTAATTCAGTAACAGGAGAGAATATCTGAGAGGAATCTAAGAACATGGAGTGGTATCAAGGTCCATCTCTATCTGAAGCTATTGAGAATATGAATGTATTCAATCGTTCTGAAGAAGATTGAAAAATTGCAGTATTGAGTTCATTTCAAACTCAAGATGAAGTAACCTTTGCTGAAGTCAAAGTTCTTTATGGAAGCATCAAAACAAATACTTATGTGTATGGGTGTAAGCTAGATAAAACTAAAGTTCATGAAATCTTTCAATCAGGAGAAGAGATCCATGAAGCAAAGGCTGGAGACTATGTTACTTTAAATATTGGTATGACTCCACTTAAGGTAATAAAGCCAGAGAAAATTCTTTCTTGTAAGCAAGTAGACTCCTGAAGTGATATTTTTACAACTTGTCTTTTTGTTAGAATTTTATTCTGATACCCTGATGATCCGAGCCATGAGATATCGATATCTTCTGGATTTCAATGAAAGCTGTCAATTGGTAGATCTAAAACGATTTGAAAAATCTCTGAGATTATTAACAAAATGGATTGTAAAACAAGAAGTGTGTTGGAAATTAACCCGAAAAGAGTTATTCCTGGAAACCTAAGCCAGGTAAGAATATCTCCTGGCAAACCTATTGTGTGCCATATACCATCTCGACTTTCAAGATTCTGATTAACTGCCAAAAGATTCTACGCTACTGGTATTATACAATTTGCTGAATAAATTTCAATACCTTCCTCTCTCAACTTCTCACTTCCTTACTAAATCCTTTAAATTTCTAAGCTTTAAACATGCTAGGGTTACATCAGGTTAAGAATTTAGCCCAATCCATAATTCTAATTCAACTCCTACATAACCACCACATTAATCCCTTAGACCTACTGCTTTTGTTTCAAACATCTTTGCCATTCTCAAAGTGAGGAACTGGCTCAGCTAAAATCATTGACTCTTCAAATATAATTCGAAGGCAAGAGCAGGATAAATTAGAGTAAAGATGAGTTAGAATACATAGAATGTAGTCATAGACAAGAGGTATGGGTTGACATAGGTTTAGAGAAGCAATTTAAATGAAGGGGCTTAGATCGTGTTTTGCTGAGAATGAGTTGGTGATTCTCTGTTTCTCTTGGTTAAGGATGAACAAATTAGCAACTATTAGGCTCTAAAGCTCAATTGTTCAACAAAATTGATTCTTCTTTGAAACTCATTCTAAACTTCCTTGACTAAAAGCTTTTATACAATATTTAACCTGAACCTCGGGGTTTTGGGGTTTTGGGGTTTTGGGGTTTTGGGG